TTTAAGGTGTCTCATCTCCCAGGGATTGAAAAAAAACAAAAAACATTGAACTGTACAATATTATCAGTAGGTCTCAAATTGTAATTTCTTTGTATATACAGCAAGTGTGTTTCATTTCATATCCTTATACTGCAAATATAATAGTGAAGACTGGACTTCACTGGACACAGTCTGATATTCATTTCAGAAAGAGGGTGTTACGAATCCAAACAGTGATTCATTGATGTGCTGTAGATAGGCCAGTTTTGTAAATAGTTTTTTTTTTTTTTTTAATTATTAAATCATTGCGCACACACACACATACACACACAAAAATAGTAAAGACGCATTGCATATGCTTCAATGTTGCCATTTTGGCCTCAGATTTAAAGTTGAACCTATAGGGAGCAGTGTTTCAGTATATGGTTAGACATTTTGTATTGGAGTTATAATAATTAAAAAATAATAATTCATTACATTTATATAGCGCTTTTCTAGGCACTCAAAGTCAGAGTCGATTGCCTGTGTCACACGAAATGAATATAATTCATGAATAATAAGCAGGTGGTTTCTTAGATTCCATCGTGAATGTAAATGTATAGCAATATATCAGAATATAAGTGACTTTGGCCAAAATAACTCCCCAAGCAATGAATTCCTGTTCTCAATCAGTGATATATTACAGTACAAACCAAAACATTGTGCTGCTTCATTTTCATGTTTAAAAAAAATGTTTTATGAGTACACGGTTATATTCAAAGTTCTAGTTTTTCTGTGTGAGACAGAACAATCAGATGTAATATTATTAAAAATTAACAAGTAAATTATTATACTAAAAATCAAAATGAACAAGTATTATGTTAGCAAGTGTGAAATCATTTTTTATTTTTATAATTTTAATTAATGGATGCACCATACGTTTCTGCTTTATTTTTGAGCTGTCTTAAACATAACCTTTGTTTTGGAATTATCTACGTAGGCAGCATCTGTGTGTGTCATAAAATAGTGCTCCTCGTGTAAAGACACTCGACTCATAGGTGATTTCAATGGAGTTTGTTGTTAGCACGTTGCTAATCTAAAAGTGTAATACACTAATAAGCTTTAAAAATGCATAGCACACACAATTATTATTATTATTAATAATAATTAGATTTAAATAAGAATTGAATGACTTATATTTATAATAAGGCTCAAATTAATCACACATCAATGTGGGCTGAGAAATTACCCCCAAAAGATAATGTAAAGTCACTATTGTTGAATGAGAAAAGCATTGAATAGACATTACAAAAAAAAAAAAAAGTAGCTTTAGAAATAAATATTTTGATGCAACATAAAATTTATGACACTTTTTTTTTAATGCTACAATGTGGCCATAACATTGTTTTCAGAAGCTGTGTCATTTAGGTATATTTACAGTTCAGAGGTGCCATGAATGTATTTACAGTGTAATAAGAATTGCATGAATAATGCTATGAGATTAATGGGTTATAAATGGGTGAGTAGTTTCATTTAGAAACAAAGCAAGTGACAGTCTTTGCGTTGGGAGCTCTATGATGCCTTAAAATGCTGCCTACCAAGGGAGGTTTTGGAACAAATCTCATATTATTCTTTTTTTTTTTTTGATCATATTAGACAAAGTTAACTGATATTCCAGCCAGACTAACCACAACTTAACATGTACTTTTGTATGTTCTGATTTCTATCCAATATGACCTTGTCTTTCGAACTTAGAACTTCTAGAAGAATCTGACTCAAACTTCTGTTCCGTCGCAGCATTTGAGGTATTTCACAGTAGTGAATTCAGAAATATGAGTTTAAGCCATATGCACTAGGCTATCGTTTGGGTAGTTTGGGGTCAGTAAGATTTTATTATTATTTTTTTAAGAAATTAATAATTTTATTCAGCCAGCATGCATTAAATCATGATCAAAATTGACAGTAAAGACTTTTACATTGTTACAAAAAAAATTATATTTCAAATCTGTTCTGTTCAAAGCATCCAGGAAAGAAAATGTATCACTGTTTCCACAAAAAAAATATTAAGCAGCACAACTCTTTTTAATACTGATCATAATAAGAAATGTTAAGTAAGCATCAAATCAGCATATTAAAATGATTTCTGAAGGGTCATGTGACGCTGAAGACTGGAGTAATGATGCTGAAAATTCAGCTTTGATATCATAGGAATAAATTACATTTTAAAATAACTTTAAAATATAATAATATTTGGTGAGCATCAGAGACTTCTTTCAAAAACAATACAAAAATCCTACTGACTCCAAAATTTTTAACTGTAGAGTATGTGCATATTCAAGTCTACAGATCTAGGCCAACTTTGCATACCTTTTAGGGTAGTTAACTTGGCATTTTCCCCCTTTTTTACCGACTCTAGAGCCACTGAAAACAGCTTTGTGTTTGTAAACGTGAGCATAGTCTCTACAGATGCATCCAGGCGTGCTGTTTATGCTTTACACATACGCTTATCCGCCATAAAGGAACTTAAAATGGGCTACAGAGACTTGTTTAATGCATGACGTCTGCGCAGTCTAAAGCCGTGTGACATGAAACAGTGTTTTACCCTTAATCTCGACTTGTCAGAGGCTCTACAGTGTGCTGAAGTCAGCATGCAATTACGCACAGGCCCTGAGCCGAGGGAACGAGGGAAAGCTGGTACTTTACCATCCTGTCGCACATTCTCTCATTAACACTCGCAGGTTAGCTTAGCGTCCCGCTTTATCTCTACTAGTCACAGTTGTTGTCTCACTCTAAAAGTGATATTGATTTTTTTTTTTTTACTCATTGTGTACTCATATCTTCAGTCCCCCACTCACCTGAATCTAACAATGTGTCCTAGTTAAACCACTTTATCTATTAAAATTTACAAGCAGCAAGGTGTTTTGTTGTCCCCTTGGGTTCTGATGCACCCACACTCAAAAAGGCCTACATTTAAAGGGATAGTTCACTCAAAAATCTAAATTCTGTCATTAAATACTCACCCTTCGAGAGTCTCGTGAATGACGGCGGAGACTGACCCGGAAGAGAAGAAATCCTTGAATAAAGTTGTTATTTTTGTTTTCTTTGCACACAAAAAGTATTCTTGTAGCTTCATAACATTAAGGTTGAACCACTGATGTCACGTGGACTATTTTAACATTTCCTTATACCTTTCTGGCCTGGGGACATCTCAGTTGCATTGCTGTCTATATAGAGTCAGAAAACTCTCGGATTTCATCAAAAATATCTTAATTTGTGTTCCGAAGATGAACTAAGGTCTTTGGGTTTGAAACCACATGAGGGTGAGTAATTAACGTCAGAATTTTCATTTTTGGGTGAACTATTCCTTTCAGATTGATGTATTTGCATTTCTTATAAAATTTAGAAATCACTTGTATCACACATTTTAAACATAAATTAATTAACTTAATTTGATGCATATTTATAAGTCAGACATAAATAAAACAGGTAAGATTTCTGTAATAATAATAAATTGAATGCGTTTTAAATATATAATAAGCAGATTTGTATATGTATCATCAATAAATCCAATTTTTCATGCATTTTAAATAATTAAATATTGCTTGTAGTCATATTTAACTATGTTTATACTTTTACAATGAATAGATTTATGCTAATTCTAGGCATTTTGGTGGAGGTGGTGGGGGGATGGTAAAATATTATTTAAATAAAATCTTGTAGATTTTAATAGTTAAGAATGAACTGGCATGCTTTGTTGTTGTTTTTTTAAGATTTCTCTAATTGTTGTAATAAATGAATGTTTTAAATGAACAATAAACAGGTTTAGATATTTATCATCAATAAATCTATTTTGTATGCATTCTAACTAATTGAATATTGCTTGTTCCACAGCTAGCAATATTTGATGTTCATAGTTTTTAACTGAATACATTTTTTCACAATGAACAGATTTATGCTGATTCTGAGCAATTTGAAAAACAAAATCATTTAAAAATATGATTACTTAAAATCAAATGAATGCAAACGGTAATAATAAATTGTATTTTTGTAATGCAGAAATCTAATGTATGAATGACTAATAGCTATGCATCACATTGTTTAATACTTTGTTAAAACTGTGTAATCCAAACGGATGGAAATTTTATATGCATTTCAAATACATAAATCTTAAATTGAGGCCTAAATATGTGGTTGATTGAGAAAAATCTCATTGGTCCAAAATGGAGCTCGACAGCTGTATGTCAAACAGGAAAAGGTTCTGATTGGCTGTGATTTTGTTGCACATGCAGCATTTTCACCTTCAGTGTAAAAGTTCTGGTTAGTCTGGAGAGCCGAGCACTTGTTCTAACCTGCCATCTAAGGTTAATGAAAATCTCTTTCTAATGTAGAAAAGTACTTGCTGACATTAAACAACTATTTCTGTTCTTTTAGCTTATTTATTTAATGCCATTGTGTGCTAATGAGCCCTCTCTCCCTCATTCAGTGGAGTTGTATGATATCCATCAGGTTTTATTTGCTCTACTGACACTCTCTTTGTAATATAAATCATGACTGTGTAACAATAACGACACTATAAACATTAAAGCAAAATGAAGCTGGTTGAAACGAAACTCGCCATACGATTTATGTGTGATAGAAAACCAGTAATGTTTTGACGAAGAAATAATTGTAAAACTTATCTCCCGTCGCACAAAATCTACGGCTGCATGAC